GTGGTTAGGATATGTAATGGATAGAAGCAATGCAGAATCACACAATCTTTAATATAATGAATAGATAAATAGATATTTTAGCTATTGATTTCAGTAATGACAAATATCAACACTTCCACAAATCCATGTTTCTTTAATATGTTATAGAAATAGGATTAAGATAGGCTACAATCTATTATGTTAGCTTCACTGGAAACAACAATTATTTCTGACAACACAGTGTGGAGCTGGAGGAACACAGCAGGCCAGGCAGCATCAGAGGAGCAGGAAAGTTGACGTTTCGGGTCTTGACTCTAAACGTCAACTTTCCTGCTCCTCTGATGCTGCTTGGCCCACTGTGTTCCTTCAGCTCCACACTGTGTTATGTCTGACTCCAGTATCGACAGTTCTTACTATCTCTGACTTATTTCTGACGTCCATGTCTAACAACATTTCAATTTTTAACAAATTTAACAATTTAGAAATGATCTGAGTATTTAATTGTCAAGTTCTAAAGAAAGGTCATTTACTTGTAAATCAAGCATGCCTAAATAAGAAGTGAAAAAATAAGAAGTAAAAGGATGTGGTTATTGAATGAGTTCTCTGATAAGCTTCATTACACACAGGGTCCAAAATTAAATTTCTGACAAGATGAAAATTACTCCTAACTTCAAAATACAAAGTGCAAAGTTCAGTCTTTTATTTTTGCCCCTTTATAGAAACTTCTGTTTCTCCTTTCAAACACTTCCATAATGTAGTAAACACTTATTCCTCCACAGACTTAAAAACACCAGAGCATAAATATTAACATTTATCATAAATCGGAAAACGCCTTTTGACTGAACAGGACTGTCTAATTTTGACAGATTTCATCTGTACCTATGTACTTTCTCAAAAAAATCAAGTTCTGCTCTCTTCAGAAAGGCTTCAGACTCCTGTACTCCTTCATATTCCCTGCTTCAACAGCCTATCCTGGCAGTTTATTCCTTGAGAATTTTTTGTGCAAAATACTCTATTTGACTCTCTCCTTCTAATTTCCCTTTCTAAAAGAAACTACTCTGGAAATAAAAATAAATACTTCTTCCTTAAGAATGAGTAACATATAAATGTCTATTCCTGAAATTTCATTCTTATACTCCAGGATGGTGGTTCTAATTCAGTAATGATTTTTATTAATAAACAATGTAACCTTATTGGCAAACACTGCCCATTCCAGCCATCATAAACTAGAGGTATATTATTTTTGTATCTTTTCAATTTGGAGATCTATTTCATAGATACCAACACTGTGAGTAATCTACATCAACTGCAGATTGCAGCCAAGGATTTTCTGTCTAAACTTGTAAGCAAATCATTTGACAAATTGTCCATGCTATCGGGTCACAACAGTACTAACATCTTAAAGAGACTTACTTCAAGTGGGAGTTAAGCTTCACAGTTTATAATGTCAACAGTACGTGAGACCAAATAAAACTCGCAGTTGTTTGCGCACGATTTCTTCACTTGCCTTTCTCATTAGAAAAGGATTCATTTTCACCTTGTAATTAAAAAATAACACAGATCCTCTTCCTATTTTTAGGTTTCAGACTGTACACATCATTCTTGTGGTTGCATAATCCTAATTGGTTTAAGACAATTGTACTTAATACTTCTTACACCTCTCAAACATCAGCTCAGCACATAGGAAGAGATCATTGTTAGGACACAGTTTGTTACCTTTCAGTTTAAAACTTTTTTAAAATAAGGGAAAGTCTAAAAACTTGCATTTTATCGACAAAAGCTCTCAGGAATGAAATCCATCCTGCATTTTAAATAGTATAATTATTGGTTGTTGAAAATTTTGTTGCTTAAGCAGATTGCAAAGATATTTTATCACATTGGAAATAAAGTAATAAATATGTGCATCTTCAGGCAAAATTATAAGGAAGAGGTATCGTTTGAAGCAGCTTCTGATCTTGTCTCAAATTAAACTGGTGTCTAGCAGATTCTTAATACTTCTGACAAATGGTGCAAGTGTCTCATAAAACAGAAAATGATGGAAATGTATAGGTAATTAAGTATCTGAAATGTTCATGTTTCAGAATGAGTTCTTTATGAGAATTGTTCTGACCAGGGTTTACATCCAAAACATTAACCTTTTGAAAGATGGTATCTCTTTCCAGTATTTTTGTTCTTATTACAGCAATTCTTCATTACACTGATTAAATAGTATTACTGATTAGGAATTAATTGGAAGTTTTATGCAAACTAAAAGGCTGCTTGGCCTAAAAATCATGCCCTTCTGGCCAATTATAAACTTATTTCTGCACTCTGATAATGTACAATATTAGAAAGTCTACTGCAGTTTATCTATCTGATGTTAAAGTTAAAAAAAAGGAAATTTCACCCCTCAGCTTTTGTCCAAAAAGAGGTCCACTGACACAAGACACCTTGCTAATTCCTTTCTTCCATTTTGGTGCAGTACCATTTTGCTTCTGTTTATTCGAGCCAATTCCTACTCACTTCAGGAAGATTTTGGCTATTCTGGACTTAGCAATCTTATGAATAATCCTATTTGTGATACTGTTTCAAAATGTTTGCTTGTGTCCTTAACAAGAGGCTTGAGATGTTTATGTTTAGTTTAGAGGGAAGCCTGTGCTGCCTGGAATCCTGCAATGCTATTTGTTTTAGAAGTATTTAAAATGTAAAGGCTGGTTTTCCAGAATCTTTGGTTAAGAGGACTTCCAGTGAAAGTGGCAAGATTTAATTTTTGTTTAAATTTAGCTCCTTCTTGGCACTTGCCTCACTTACACTGTGACAAGTTGCCACAGTGAATTTCCACATCCCCAGCTCAGTCAATTGCTTCATTAGAGGTTGTGAATAGCAAGATATCTGTCAATAAATTGCAAATACTTCTCCTGAGCAGGGCTGCATCAAAGTAGACCTTCAGTACTCCGACTATTTCCTTGACCACTTATCAACAATGCAAATATATTTCAAATATTTTTCAGGCTTAAAATGATTCTTAAGATTTCCCATACTTTTGACATTGTTTTCTATATTCTCACTACTGACCAGTTTGCTAATTGCTTCACTTTTTCATTATGTTTATCGGGTACTGTAATCTCCCTTTAGTTTTTCATTTAAGAAAGTCTCGTTTTACCCCTCTATGTGCCACATTACTTCATTTGTTGTTCAAGTCAGTTTCCTTCCTCCTTTACTTTTCCCCAGTATTGATTAATTAGTAATCCTGCTCTTTCCTAATATTGCATTATGGCTGGCTCCCTTATTTTTCCCCTCATGTCATCAAAATTTAGCTTCTTTAAGGCAAGAGACTTAGACCTCAATCTCCTCTTTCTCCAGAAATGTACAAAACTATACCTATAACTTATTTATATTTTCTAAAAGTTCTGGAGGCAACAAATTGCATTGTGTTTCCCTTGTGTCTGGAGACCATCATCATGGCTATTTGCAACACAGTCTGCCTTATCTGACATCAATAGATTCATGTATGTTCCTGCATTTATTTTATATATCTGTTATATTTTATGCTGTTTATCTGCTAACTGATTATTGGTTTGGTATTCAGCCTGCCTTCATACAAGAGTCAACACAGGAGTAGAAGAGCTTTATGATATTGTGGATGTTGTCATAAGCAGCTCTCAACAGGTGATAGAAAATGTACAACAGTAAATCTCTATGCAATCACGTATGGATGATTTAATCATTTGCAGCGCACAGTGGAACAACTGGTATCTCCAAGGCCATCTGCAAAGGTGCTCAATGGAAGAATGAAAGAGACAAATAGAGTTTACCTTACTCTCAAGTTAGGTGACTGACACTTTTGAGACCTTGAATATCTACTTATATGAGTGAGAGATTGGAATTCACTCTGTGACAGATATGGTAATCTGTTGATGGAGTCAGATAGGTTCACAATACTTCATGACACTTCTGATGATTAACTAACTGGCCTGGCCATTGATGATACATTATGGGATAAACCTGTCTTTTGACTCTTGATAAGTCTGGGGGATTGACTGAGCATTCATACCTTTCCATCAGCAACCATCCCATTTGTGATGTTCATATTAAACTATATAAAGGGTATCTGTCTTCAGCTTGATGGAAGGACCTTCTGGACGTGGTTTCTTGCAAAATAGAAGATTTAAAAATCCTAGATATCCAAGCCCAATGCCTTCAATTTTTACTTAAATGGACAAGGTATCTAAAAATTTGTGCTGCAAAAATGTGTAAGGTTTATATAAATAAATATAATGATGTTATTGCCAAATTCAAATAGTAATACTAAAAGAATCACACTGCTACCTTGCCTAAAATTCTAAACAGCAACTTGACTTTAATTTTCCACAAGATATTATTTTGAAAGATTTTACTATTAGTTAGTGAATGCTACTGAAGTGGTGATCTCATTCCTTTTGGCAATAATCTGATCTAGCTGCCATCTCATATATCTTTAGATATTTAACATGAATCATGTGCAACCTGTAAGCAGGATCAATCAAAGCAGACAGCAGTTGAAATAAAGGGAATCAACTAAGCTTTAGTTTCATTCATATATGTCCCATACACAAGATAATACTGCGTGATGTCTGATATGCAGATCAAGCAAACAGATTATATTGCTCCATGTTATTCAGAAGAGGCATGCTTGATTGCATTCTAAGTAGCTATCTACAAAATAGTCCTTTTGAGTCAACAGACAAAATGAGCATTTATCCACGCTTTTCATTTCATATGCAATACAATCCTTTTTATAATCTTGTACAGCAGATTTTTCCTAATGTAATTATTTCATGTGGTTGAAATTGATGACAATAAAATTAAATGAGGCAGAAGTCAAATTAGGTTAAAAGATTTCTTTGAAGGTAACAGAAAAAGAAATCATTTACAATAGCATGTATGTTATGTTTTAATTTTCATTTCATTATTACAAGGATTAAAATTCTGTTTTATTACAAGAATGCTGTTGATCTTACACAGAAATAAATAGATCAAGCATTCAGTAAATATCTGGCATATTGAATAAAATATTGGATAAAACAAAACTATTTATATGCACTCATACTGAATAACATATATAATAATTAAATATATCAACATTTAATAATGGTAGATTTTTGATTATATCAGTATTTATCCCAGAATTATAATTTTTTTTATTAATGTATTTATAATACACACTTTCTCTGCTATAGTTTAATCTTCACTGTCACCATAAAGCAGCCACAATCCTATAATGGAGACCTGGAACACAGTAATTGCTAATACCTACGAGCCTTTTATTTATTTTCATGACGCGCACACAAAACAAAATGAGATGCGCATTTGTTGTTAAATGAGATACTTTTCAAAAGTGTTGTGTGATCGCATTGTCCGCATGGTATCACGGACTAAATGCAGACTTATGTCATTCAGCAATGTCCAAACATGGGTCACCAATACACAAGTAAAGTACCGTGGTTGCTGGAAATTTGAAATAAAAATGGTAATGATGCAAATACTTATTAGGTCTGGCAGCATATACGGAATGAGAAATAAAGTTTTAGGTCGATGACAATTCATCAAACGTTCCTATGTCTGACAAAATTTTCATCGCCCTAATTTGTTTTCTCTCTGAATTGATGCCTCCAGACCTGACTGATAATTGGCAACATTTTCCGTTTTTTGTTTCACAAATGACGAGTTGAGATAATGTTACTTGTTACACTTCAATTAAAGAAAAACGTGTAAATTAAATGGGGTAGTGGGTTATTTCTTTCAATATCTGCCGCAAAAACAGTGGAGCTAGTATATAAAATTATGGTAGTGAATTAAAGCACAGTCAAATTTAAATTCAAATACCAACTATTTCATTGAAAGTCTAGTAACAACGAACTGTCCTGTAATACAATTTTTCGCTTTCTATTCGGATGACATTATTTTTGGACAGTTGCATATGGGTTATACGAATACGTCTCAAAAAGCAAAGGTGAAAGGGTTGAAAATTGGCTGGAGATCGAACCATTTCCCACTCTAATGTATTGTTTGGAAACCTGCTCCTGGAATGGCTGGACCTGTAAGAGATTTACAGTTAACTGTCGTTTAAAGCTTCCTTCCACATATCACTAGCGTTTCGAAAGCTGCTAGAACTTTGTATAAATCAAGGTTTCATGGAACGGCTATCACTTACAGGTTCCCAATACACAAGTCACATGCGGTTGTCCGAATTTTATCCTGAAAATTCTAACTGGGCAATAACCCAATTAATCAAAAATGTACATTATATCTAGTGTCGGCGCGGACGAGTTGGACCGAAGAGTCTACTTCCGTGCTGTATGACTCTATGACTATGACTAAGTGCCATTATTCTGTTGCAAATGCGCAGTAACCCGAAATGAACAATGCGGGCAAAAATCTAACTGGCCCCTAACTGGTTGCTTCAGCGATGCGTGATGGATGGTTAACAAGGTGAGGGAGACCGACAACTGCCACTGACGAAGTGGTATACACTAACCGTATAAAGTATTTTTTCCAAAATAACACAGATAAATACCTTGACGACTATTATTTTAAACATGTATTCTTGTGATCCCTGAGGTGAGACCTTTGTCTACTAACTGCAACACTTCACCCAGGTTCTTCTGATGAAGATGGACAGCCTGGTCTCAGAACACGTTCCTCACCTCACCTACCTCTGAACCAGATACAATCAAAGTTTGACCTGCAGAAATTAGCTCAAAACACTGACTTCACAGTCATTGAGTTAGAGAGGATCGTTCTCTTATCGCTGCAGAGGTGCGGGGTGGACAAAGTTGAAGCTTAAAAATACATCGAGATGCTATTATTTTAAGGTGTGGGCGGTAGATGGGGAGAGAATAAGTGGTAATTCCTCCCCCCACGTTGACTCACCAGATGAAAGTTGCACCCAGCCGCAGATTTTGTAGACGGTGGCCGTGTTACAGAAGAAGAAGAGGACGAAGCAGGCGATGCAGCCCATGATGAGCGCCATGGACATCGCGATGAAGAAAGAGGCGGCTTTGAAAGCTCCGGAAGCAATGGTGGAGAAGTCAGTGAAGCTGCCGCGACAGGTCAGCTCCCGGGAAAGCCCGTTGCCGATGCAGTAATGGAAAAGCCCGAAGTAACCGGCTTGTGGGGTGTCCACCCCATCTCCGATCCAGTAAGGCTGGATGAAGCACACCACGTTCACTATGGCAAAACAAATTGTGAAAATAGCCCAGAGTACGCCGATCGCTCTTGAGTTCCTCACATAATTGGTGTGGTAAATTTTAGCTGCCTCCTGAGCTGGCAACATTGCCGGTGCTGCAAACCTTACCCCGATCCGGCAAAAAAAATAGTTTCTAGGTGCCAGATGATGCTTGATTTTCTGGGTCACACTGGACCTTGCGATTGATAATCAGTCGTCACGAGAAATGGTCTTCAGTCTTCGCCCCCCAAAAATACCTGCTGATGCAAAATAATATTCGCCGAGTCTTGTTCCCAATTTGACATTCTGCCTTTATTTTTGGTGTTAGGGTTGCGAGCTGTGATTCTTACCTCTCCATCTGACGGATTTTCTTCCCCTCCCACAAGGTACAGCCTATGTGCAAAGTGCGTTGATCAGCGACGCATTGCTCACGCTGGCAGTTCCTCTGGCTCTGATGCTGAAGAATTATTGGAGGATAGCAGATCAGTGGCTGGTTTGCGAACTGCAAAACCCCTTCTACCAAGGGCGGTCTGAGACGGTACCCCAAACAGACCACAAGCACAAATTGCCAAGCGCGCTGTATGTTGGGACATTGTCGTTCTTGCAATTTGAAATAACACGATGTCTGTAACAGTCATCGCAAATCAATACATACATACTACAAATATGAACTGTTATCATTGGTTCAGCGTACAGACTCTTTGATCGCGCTTCTCATTCTCAATTCAGTTTTAAATGCTAATTAATTTGGTAACGGTTTTCTGAATGTTGATCTGTCCGTACCCAGACACAGCCAGACAATCAACTTTACAGATGCATGGCTTTTTGCCATGTCTCATGGCCTCGATAGGCGTCAATGCCTGTAAAACGTACTCTTTATCAGCTGCTACAAGAAATCACATCATTGCACTTCACTGGCAGATAACAATTTGCAGTTATATAGCACCCTCGCATTGTAAAGAAATGTCCCAAGGTACTTCACAGGGGCATTATTTGATAATACTCCTTTGAGCCATTTGGGAAGTAAAATAATGTGAAAGACACTACATAAATGTAAGTTATTGTTGTAGCACATAATTTGACACCAAACTGAATAGAAATATACTGGGATTGGTGACCAAGGGCTCAGTCAAATAACTAAGTTTTAAGGAATGACCTCAAGGTGGGGACTGGATGGACAGGCAGAGAGGTTGAGGCAGGAAATTCTAAAGCTGCAACAGTTAAAGGTGAGCCAAAGAAAATTCTGGATATGAAAGAAGCCAGAATTATAGAAATACAGAGAACTCAAGGTTGTAGAACCAAAATAGGCTAAAGAGAATTATTAATTATTTCTCAATGGCTGCAACACTCAAATTCTCTCCCTAAACTTTTCAGTCTATCCTTCTCCTTTTCCTTCCTAATGACATTCTTTAAAACCTACCTCTCTTGCGTAGCCTCTTCTAAGGATGCCTAGCCTGAAGAAGTTACCCTCCTCCCTCCGGAGATTTTCTGATGAAGGGTCTAGGCCCAAAACGTCAGCCTTCCTGCTCCTATGATGCTACTTTGCCTGCTGTGTTCATCCAGCTCCACACCTTGTTAGCTTAAAGTAAGGTTTTGGTCAATGATTTGATTTGGTGTCAAGTTTTGTTTTAATCAGTTCCAGTGAAGTGAATTGGGTTGTTTTAATAACAGTGCAATACAAATTCAAATAATTATTGTTGTGCGCATAACTATTGGCTGCATAACTCGTCCAAACATTTCTCCTTCTTTAAGTGTACTGATCTTGCGGGAGGAAGCTGACAACAGGGAAGGAACATGAAAGCTCCTCATCACAGGTACTGGATGAGTCATGGATTCCTAATGAGGAGCAGAAGCACTTGATCTTCCAACTGAAATGACACTTAGAAAAACCAGTTCAGGAAATGAGAAACACATACTACATTTCCATCAAGAGAAACCTCAAGGATGCAAACATCACTGGTGGACACATATGTGGAGTGGAAATATTGATTATTGTTCCTTCTTTAGAATTTTTTGCTGATGATTTGTTGGCCAGAGAACACATAATAGTTAGTATAAGGAAGCTAGTGAATGCATGATTTGACCACAGAGAAGTGGAGTAGGCTCATGTTGTACCTACAGGGCTGCTTTTAACTAAAGTTTAATCAGTTTTTGTTACAACTATTTGCCTGGGCTATGCATCAGTCAAAGCTACTGCTTCTTCATCCTCTTTACTGAGTAATGCATAGTCCAGCCTTTCAACTGCATAGGTTCCCTCTTCTCATGGCAAAATAATGTACAGCACAGTTGATGCAAATGATATTTCATTCTTTCTTGGAATAGGTTTCTGTCAAATTCCTCCAGACATTAAAAACTACAACATGTTGATAACATGTTCTGTCAGAATTCAAATTGTGTTATGAGACCCAAAATTTTCTTTTTCCATATTGGAATAGTAGCTGCAAAGTGGTTTCAATATCTATGGCAGCAAGAGGTATTCTTGTTCCCTTAGCAATCATCCTGCTCCTTTGATGAGTTGTTGCTCCCATTAGCTGTTATACCTTAAGGTTGTCACAGGATAACTTGCAGCTAGATGATTACTTGAATATCGGATATAAAACGAAGTTTTTAAGTTTGCTAAAGCTCACCAAATTAATGTTAAATGCTTGGAAAACACAATGAATTACTATATCTGAAGATTTTTTTTATTTTTTTTCAGTTCAGAATGGCTTTGTGCTGTAAAGGTGTGAGATAAGTGATTAAGAGGTACATTGAGGAATAGTCAAAGTCAAAATTGAAGGTCATGATATAAGGATGCAATACATTAATCAGTAATCAGTATCTTAAAGCACAATACATTTTGCTGACAGTATTAAATACGTCATGGGAAATACAGTAGTTGCAATGTCAATCCTGAAAACGGTTGGACAGGTGTGCCTAAGTGATATGTTGAAGATCAGACCATACAGCAGGATGGGAAGCAGATAAGCTGTGACTCAAAACTTAAATCAAGTACATTGTGCAATTGGGTAGGGGAGACTGCTGCAAAGTGCCAAGCGGTTTCAATGTACATTATGCCTCATATCCAATTTGTATCATATTGGATATTATAATCTGTGGATTTATTGCACGAGATCAGGCGGTGTTTCATGCATTTGCATGAAATAATTAAATAAAATCTCTTATGAATTTCTCAAATTTCACCTGAGCTCTACCACTACTGAATAGGACATCAATACAAAATTGGTTTTCATGACTGCTGTGTTGGTTTAGCCTGCCTTTGTATAATCCTTAAAACAAGTTTGTTGTTATTAGAGTAATCATTTTTGGCGGTAATTTACTCCCCTATTCAACATTGTTCAGTTTTTGTATGTATATTTGTATTAAGCCTGACATTAGTAGTAAGGAAAATATTAAAGTCCAATACAAACGATTTAATAGTGCAGCACTTGAAAAACAGTGACAGCATTGGAAAGAGGCAGCATGAATTTATAAAAGGGAAAGTAGATTATTAGCAGAATGGTGATAGATTGGGAAAGCAGGAGGTGCAATGAGACCTTGGTGTCCTTGTACACCAGTCACTGGAAGTAAGCACGCAGGAGCAGCAGATGGTGAAGAAGGGAAATGGTCTGTTGGCTTTCATAGCAAGAAGATTCAAGTACAGGAGCAGCGATGTCTTGATACAATTGTACAGGGTATTGGTGAAACCACACCTGGAAGTAATATGCACAGTCTGGTCTCCTTATTTGAAGAAGAATGTTCTGGCTGTGGCAAAAGTGGAACCAAGGTTTTACCAGACTGATTCCTGGGATGACGGGACTGACATATCAAGAGAGACTGGATCTGTTAGGACTATATTCATTGGAGTGTAGAAGAATGAGGGGGAAATCTCATAGAAATCTATAAAGTTCTAACTGGACTAAACAGGGAAAATACTGGAAGGATGTTCCTCTTGACCAGGGGTCACAGTCTAAAGGTACAGAAAAGCATAAGAACTGGGAGCAGGAGTATGTAATTCAGCTCCTTGATTCTGCTCCACTATTTAATACGATCATGGCTGATCTCGTTATGGGGGCCTCAATGCCATTTTCCTGCAAGCTCCCCATAACTTTTTAACACATTAAATTTATTCAGTGTCCTGGCATCCACTGCACCCTGAGGTAGTGAATTTGCAGATTTACGAACCTTTGAGAGAAGTAATTCTTCCTCATTTCCATTTTAAAATCTGTCACTCCTTAGCCTAAAACTCTGACCTCTCATTTGTCTGTACTTAGATGTCTGTACTCCATCTGCTTTGTCACATCCCCTTCAGCATCTTTTATACCTCCCCATCCTTCTAAACTTTAGCGATATGGGGTAGGTAAATTAGGACCGAGATGAAGAAAAATTTCTTCACCCAGAAAATGGTGAAACTGTAGAAGTCTCTGCCATAAAAAGGAGTCAAGGCCAAAACATTGAATATTTTAAAGAATAAGTTAGATATAGTTCTTACGACTAAAGGGATCAAAGGCTGTAGGGAGCAAGTGGGAACAGTGTTCTGAGTTGGATGATCAGCCATAATCATATTGAATGGCAGAGCATGTTTGAAGGGCTGAATGGCCTATTCCTGTTCCTGACTTTCTATATTTCTACTAGAATGTCAAATCATTTTCTAAATTACAGTTCCCTGCAGTCCTTTCAAAGGTTGCTACAATCCAAGCTCAGCTAACCAAGTTGCCAGAACATGAATCTCTTTAGGTTAAAGCCTTGCACTGCACAAATTAGTTGAGGATAATGATTTCATGAGGATAAAAATATTACGATATTGTGATACAATGATACATCATATTGTATGCACATTTACATTAAAACTCAAAGACTCAGATTTACACAATGTCTCACTGCTTTCTGCATATAGCTAAAACACTGTGTTTACTCCTTCTGCTTCACTGAAAAAATGAGTGAACCCAGGCATCCATCAGATAAGCCAGTTTGCATTGTGATGTACAGCGAAACAGCATACTTTCAATTTAGAGTGCCAATTTTCTTTCTGAACTGTTGTATCTGAGGGCATTTTTTGGCCCATGAGAATTAAGCCTAACAACTTCACAGCAGCAAAGGATAAAAGGTTATTATCATGCTTTGTGTACTATCTGCCTGAGAGTCTAGCAGTTCAACATTAACTTCTGAGATTTCTGATGAAGGGTCTAGGCCCGAAACGTCAGCCTTTCTGCTCCTATGATGCTGCTTAGCCTGCTGTGTTCATCCAGCTCTGCACACTGTTGTCTCGGATTCTCCAGCATCTGCAGTTCCTACTATCTCTATCTCACCATTAACTTCTGTCCATTTGTTCTATGTAATAACATTATATGTAAAGGTGAGTATACTTACCTTGGCACTTGGTACATTTTTGGCATTTTCTCTCAATTAATATGATGGTCTTATGCTCCAAAGGAGATGGTATTCTATCACTACACCTCTG